ATTTCAAATTAAACACTGTTGATGTTAGAGCAACTGATCAAAATGCATTACTACTGAATATAAATCATTCCATCCTGAACCGAAAACTCCCTTTCTAACAACAGTCACTCTTCCTCACGTCCCACCCCCCAAACTTTTTGCCTTTTCATAGCAGTTTCTTTCCTCGAGGAATGCTACTGGTCAGTTAAAGTCTCAAGCACAGATCCGAGTGCAATACCTTGGAAATTTGGTCATGTTTGCAACCGGATACCGGGCGAAATGCGGCCGACCAGCCACGTTCGGAGTAATTCCATTCTTTACCGTCACGATGTAATATCAGTGTTCGATTGGTGCCATAAGCAACGATAAAACAATACGTTACGTGATGCAATTGACAGCCAAATCCACAACCTTTATTCAGAGTACATATGAGTGCCCTTAAATTTTGTGTCATCCATTTTAGCAATCCGTGAGCATAATGCCATTACAAAAACATATAACGATTTATTATTGTTACTCAGACATCGAGTAATTGTTTTGTCAATCGCTGCGCGCGATCGGTGGAATATTTATTTTATTGGAGTTGTGATTACTTATTGGATTGGTATTTGGCCACGATTAATTATGCAAAGTATTCACGTCAACTAATTAATTACTCGGTTGTGTTCGGTTGGCCTGCTCGCCTAGCTAGCAGGGTGGCGTAAATTGAGGCTAAAATAATGCGCATGGAAACGCGAGCATTGTGGCCAGTAACGTTACAAACGTTTGATAGCCTGGCTAATCCAGAAATCCAGAAATAACAATTAAGCTTCGTAAATTTGCAAATGTTTCAGCATTCGAATATAGTAATATTTCGATTTTGGTGGCTGCTGAAACCAGTGAACTGACTCACAGCTGCATAAAGCAAGAAAAGTTTATCATATTCAATCACGGTTGAATACGNCGTATTCAACCGTGATTGAATATGATAAACTTTTCTTGCTTTATGCAGAATGTACTTGTTGTCTCAACATCATATTGCTCTCAATGTACGGATCCTTTCTGATCGGCCAGAAGGATCATAAGGCGAATTTGATTGGGTCGTTGAACGAAATTTTTCTGTACATTCCCTGCATCAAATACTCGCCTCGCGAATTTTCATTAGACTTATATTAATGTGCCGTTCCTGCTTGAGGTTTGCCATTTATTTGGCCTACTTCACACGACACCTAATGAATGAATGCTTCAAGTGCGTCGCTATTCCCATAAGCAATGCTGTTGAATGTAAGTTCGAGTTCTAACCTAGCTGTTGCACAGTCGGACGGATGCTGAAGTTTGTCGAGATGCAATTGCATTTCTTCAGATATGCTGGCCAAAGCCTTTTCACGCCACCGATCTGCACGGTCAACGCTCGAAAATGCAGCTGACTGAGCGATCAGTGACAGTGTCTGAAGTACGTATAATCAGAGAGATCATTGAAAGAAAGGTCAACCCGATCGATGACTTCGGAGGAGATCCAGAGGAGTACGCAGAAATTTAAGCGATACCGCAAGAAATTTGGCTATTCAAAACTAAAATTTGACAAAATTGGAATTCTCGAAACCACTACTGTAGCACTGATTATGGGCATCAAAGTGCATCACAATCGAATTCGTAATAACTCAACGCAACATGTGCACCATCTTCAAAACTCCTATGCTTTCAGGTTTGATCATTTAGGTTGAAATCTCATATGGTCATCGTAATTAACTCATGAGGTCATTAAAGTGTATGACTGTTATGAATACGAATACTCCAGTTTGCGGAAGATTACTTCAGCTATCAATNAGCTCTCCGGAAAATTGTACAGCTCTCCGGAAAATTGTATAGCTCTCCGGAGAATCTTCAGCAATTAACAAACAACTAAATAATTGTTGAACGAGTTAGAAAATACAACAACCTGATTGATAGCGTGATTTGCGAACGAAAGATATTTAGCGTGTTCAAACTGGCTATTGAGGTAGTAGAAGAGTTCCTTAATTGAATTGTCCAAGTTGCGTCTAGCCATCTGAAACCAATTCACTCACTGAATTCGGATAAAGTCTGGGCGATACGTCATCCGAACCTGCATGCTCTGTTCATATTTCGAAAATGTTTACTACAAATATTCTTTTCTCAACTCTCCTACTGATTTCAATCCATTCACGTCGAATTCGATCGTCTGGAATTGTGAGCACAAATCTCAAATTCTAACATGAATTGTATTCGAGGAACACGGAATGGTGTCCTCTAGTTATGTTGATGAAAATCAGCGCTCTCGTCAAGAAAATCAGTTCATGATGGTGCTGTTCAATCTATGGATATTATTCATTCGTATCAAAATGAATACAATTCCTGTTGCATAATATACACTTAATTTCAATTGCTGTTGTGAGGTACTTCATCATCATGTTATTAATGAATCTATTATTAAGTGGGATCAAAGATTAAGTTCCAATTGAGCATCACCTACTTCATGGTCTTTGGTGTATAGGGTATGAGGTATTTCATCACGACTCTCTGATTTACCATTGCCAGCAATAGGAATCAATTTCAGTTTTGGATTTCCACTCAACAACGCGTCTTTTTCCGACAGCAACCTTTTCAATTCATCGATATTCTCATACAGCGAAATAATTTTCTTCCTTGATTCTTCATACTTGATCACCAGTGGATCAGTTTTCTTCTGTGGTTCGTTTCGGTCTTCTCGTTCTGTAAACACTTTCGTTTTCGGTTTTTCTATTAATGAATCGCATCAGCTTCTACGACAACCATTTTTCGATAGAGCTCTCTCATAACTATCCCCAAGCGAGTTTCATCGATTGCAAGTGTTTTCAGTTACATTATGCATTTGAAAATTGAGGAAAATTTCATTTCAAATATTCATAAATTGAACAAATTTCAGTTTTTGACTGACTTGTCATTGTGCTGCTCATCGCATTCATGCCATAAATCAAGAGATCTTCAACCGATTCATCTTCATTTCCTAGCAACTCATAAATGGAGATGCATTTGCTAATTCAGTGATATGACGCCTCTTTTTCAATCTCCAAACATTGTTCTCATCAAAAATCGTATAAATTCGAAAGGAAATTGCTTTCGACAATAGAATCTCTTTTCTGTGCCATTTATATCAATCGTTTTCATCATAAAGCAACTGTGAGGGAGAAAAGCGATTAAAATGAACACTTCGTTTATTTTTGAACCAACACAACTTTCGATAATGATTGTCGAAAAAAACGCATCATTCCAGTCCGATTGCAACTCTTTCAAATACGCTTGAATTGTAACCTTTGGATTGCAGCGTGAAAATACTTATTGCCAGATAAATGAATATTATCATCCAAATTGCAACAGCCGCTATTGTGGCACGTCGCATAGAACATTTCAATTGTATCATATTGCGAGAAACGTCACCATATCCTGGAGTGATCATAAACGTGATAAATCACTAAGGTTTATGGCTTGAGTCAACAGAAGTCAACCACGAGATTCGTGCAGTCGTCCGATTGTGGCAGATAAATGACAACATTACGAAACAGTATCATGTGTTGACGATCGTAGTAATGCTATATGCATGCTGTTTGCGCGAACACGTTCGTTCACAACATTCAACACGGCCATGACTATAGCCGCATAATCAATTTTCATGGAAGTAGTAATTGGTAGACGGATAACTGCAGTTGACAACAAAACGAAAAGTTTATGCTTAATGTTGCATTTGAATTGCATAACGTGAATGCTCTCACAATCCGATGAATTCATTTACTCATGTTCATCCAAATTAAATGCTTTCAATTATTCAAATATATCAAACTGAGAGCGACCAAATATTCTCGTTTTCATTTTATTTATTCAACGTTTTCAACGAGAGCATTTCAACGTTTAACTGTTACGGGGAACTGAATTGCATGAAACATTCCCTTGAGAATCTTCAATTTGTTATGATAAAATTCACTTGGATCTTCAATAATAAGAGCATGAGAGCATGACAATGAGTCGTGACATGACAATGAACCAGCATGCATTCAGAACACAATGAGAGCATGACAATGAGTCGTCACATAGAGCAGTGGGATTTGTTAGTTGTAAGCGATTGCCGTGACAATGCCCTTTGAAGGGAGCAAATGAGAGCAAGTATAATTCATGAAAAACATTTGCGTAAGTAAAAAATGCTTAACATTCAGATGAAATGAAAAGCATTTCGGTGAAATATGCAGTTTAATGAGGATTGAGGAGCATAAATAATCTGAATTATGCAATTTGATCAGCTGTAAGCATTCATCATGCTGGCCACAAGCAAACGGTTACGGATATGTATTCCGCTATATGGAATGATCAGTTTTGCTTGAGTGAAACCAGCATGCATTCAGAACACAATGAACTAATGAGAATTCACTAAAAATGCAATTAAAAGTAATGAGAGATTTGCGTTTTATGTGCATCACTATCAGATTACTTTAATCCCGAACCAAAACTATTGAAAGTTCTTCATTACGTAGCAAATGCTTGCTTTCATTTGAGTAGAGCAGCATATTCTATTTGTTTGATTATTTGCATTACTAGAAGTTTCATATTTGATTGCAAATCAAAAAAAAGGAAAATCATATCACTCAACTAGGCATTTAATGTGAATATGAGAGTGTAGATGAGAAATATAGAGAAGCTCCATTAAATGCGGATTAATAAGATAATCCGTACTGAATGAAGCCTTTCATGAATAGTGGCAAAGTTAAATGTTGGTTTTTTCCGTTATTCAATTCGGATTTGTCGAAATAGACCAAGCCGATAAAGATTTCGTCGGATGCAATCTCAAATGCAAGAAACTGGATGATCGAAGAGGTTGATTTGATAGGCCCAAGTTGCAGACTTTTTGCGGGATCAAACTTACGATTATTATGTGATTATGGTGCAATACCTCCGATGTTTTCATGCCTCTTCACTGATCTTCGAGGCGGTAGAGAAATTTTTTTCATACTTTTGAAGTGGATAATAGGAAAACTGGTGAAAAGCACAAGGAAATGGGATGAAAATTTCTAGAAAACTGTTGCATAAACGATCGATGCAGCAATCCAATCATCCATTTCAAGGCACATTTAAATAATAATAATAACAGAGCCAGGGTGCTCTCATTTATTCACTTCCTGCACTACTGACGAAGAACGCTTCAAGGAGATCACTTGCTCACCTCAGCAAGTTCATCGTTATATCCTAGCATCAGGTAAATTCAATGGATCTATTGCGACGAAACGATCGATAATGCAACGTTTTTGTGGTCAACCACAGCAAGTTTTCCTCCGTTAAATAAATTCACTTTCAAATGTATATGGAACGAATTTTGAATGTTGATTTGGATTTTGAAACACCTTACAATAAGAAATATTCAACAAGCACATTGTTTAAGATAGAACTAATCTTTATTATTGATACGTCTAAATAATCATACTCGGAACAATGACCAGAGATCATTACTGCAACTGAACAAGAACCAAATTCATACATGAATGAAACAATTAATCATTTCATTCTACAACTTGAATATTTTTGACCGTTTTTATGACTGATAACTTTTGGGTACGACATCAGAAGCGGTTGCTATTTTTCATTGGAACTAGTGATGGCGTCTGAGCGAAATTTCGTGCCGGTCGGAATCCGACCGAGATGACCCATCGACTTAACTTTTTATCATTCAGCCGGAATTCCAACCGACTATCAGAACGGTTCGGTTGGAATGCAACCGTCGAGATTCCGACCGAAATTATTGGAGTTTTCCGGCCAACCGTCGGTCAGATGTCATCAACAATTGGAACCAATTACAAACGGCCGTTGACACTAATTCAAACGATGCAAAACGCTCACATGATCTGGCATTTCTATGTTAGCAGAGAGAATTTGATACTTGGACGTTATGAGAACGAATGCAATGCATTCCAAGAACAATCACTGTGCTGTGGGCATGTAAAACGATATCAGATGACGATTAGTTCGTATAGCAGTCAGTCCATTTCAGACGTAAACAAGGAATTCGACTGGTGACGATCAGATAAACGATTATACAAGCAAACATCTGAATAAACAAATGCACTCGACAATTTGGAGTAATGCAAACAACCATCAGGATACTTGTTGATGCAAACAAGAAAATTAGCTAAAAACTTATGAATGTGCGAATATTCCATCAGAGATCACGCCACATAAGGCACTCTCAGTTAGTAATGCATGCGGCAGTGAACAATGAAGTCGTGATCTTGTTAACTTCCACTCTCAGAAAACATTCTTCTCGGGCCTGAACGCTGTTATCATATTCAGGTAAATCTGACTAAATGTTTATATTACAGTGGTCTAGAGATGAACACTTTAACGTTCCTGATAGTAATGAACATTAAGAATAAGTGCTCGGTTGTAAATATACTAAAACTCATGGCGTTCCAATTATTAATTGAACTAGGGAAAATATAAAATTTGTTATTCATGTTCGAAGATGAATTCGTGATGATTATGAACTGATAAAAATGACTGAAAGCATATCAAAACTGCTCATCTATTGAAGAATTAAAATGAATTGTGGACAAAAAATTCATCTGAAGAGACGACAAACGACAGAAGTTTTCAGTCAAAGCACATGAGACTGGCACGAAGAATTGAAGAGAAAGATAAAAGCATCGGTTAGGAATGCGATTGGCAATAATTGTTTAAAGCAACGAATAGAGAGGAAGAACATGCTTTGGCTTGTGATGGATATATTCATGGAAATGATTATGTCAAGGAAGTCACTCCAGCCTAAGACTTAATAGATCACCTAGGGACGCGGCTTAATTCCGAATATTAGAATGATCGTTCAATTTGCTGATCAAAACTATAGTGAAGCATATGGAATTGGCCTCGTTCTCATTGCTAAAAAAAAGGCTTTTGCAATTGGAACGTTTAACTGAATGAAAAGTAAAGAGAGCAGTACGAAGAGCAATATGCTTGTGAGCTTATGTAAGAGCATTGATCGAAGCGAACGGCTGAAATGAGCATTAGTATAGATGAGCTGATGGCAGCTAGATGAATGTGCAGTATGAAAAGCTTGGAGAGTTGTTGCTAACACAAAGAAATAGAGTCGAGAACGAAATAGTACGGTGATAGTGATTAGAGGCTGAACTGATCATTTACGACGACGAGTGCGTTGAATGAAGAAGTTAGCAGTAGGTTGGTTGTTGTTCAGTGGGCAATATTCAGTCGGTTGGAAGTAGCTGTTGAGGATTACGAATGATTAATAATTGCAGAAGTTGTACGTCGGACAATATATTGAATAATGAGTCCAGTGATGGAAGATTTTAGACTAAATTATGCAACCTATTTGAATAAAGCGTCGCTTGAGAGCGATATGATGAATTACATTGATTTTGTGTTGCGGTTACAGCCGTAAACGGAAAGAAGCATGACTCAGCTCTATGAATAATGCTTGATTGAACAAACAAGCTGAGATTGCAGCTTGCATCCTGTTGCTAATTTTCTCAACGAAGAGCCTTTTCATCCGTGAGAGTTGATTCATACTTACAATTGAATAGCAAAATTCATTGAAAGGTCGTCCTCTGAAAAGTNTATGTATAACACAATTATCGATATCAAAAATTGGATTAGCACACGTCACTTATAAATTCTTTCTATGGCTAGTTGAAAGAATGAATCATTAGTGGAGAACGATGTTAATGTTAATTTCATGAAGAATGGAATAAAACATTGCATACCTCTTGCCATCTATACGAAGGTATTTGCTGGATGCAGATGAGGAAAATGGCCGTTCTGCACGCAAATGAAACAAACCAACACAGATATTAAAGCATGAACGCAATCCAAGAATAAGTTTGACAAAGTGGAATCGTGATAATGCAAATTGACATATCAAAAACACTTCTTCCAAGTGATGCTACGTGCACTGCCAAACGTGTGCGGAATAAATGAGATGAAGAGCTGCCGAAATATGCAAATTAATTGTGGTGTTTGTTATTACCTTGATTGTAATAGCAGAGCAGATGGCGAAGTCATATGAATCGCATCGCATTGTGTCGATTGACAATTCTAAATTCAATATGCCAGAACAGGAGAATCTTCAATGGGAACATTTCTAAAGAGAGACTCTCAAATTCATTTGAAATTCGGAAGGAGAAGTTGTTGGAAACTATCTCTATGGTAGTTATGACTTGATGTCGTGCCTTCAAACAGATTGAGCAGCTTCAATTCGATACGACCGACTTACGATACGCAAAGGAAACGAAAACATTGCTATTGATTTTTTTCGGTCTTCTTTTTACGTGAGCGATTGAATATTTTGTCATGAGGGGCTTGTTTTTTTGTCTGAATATGTTTTTAAGTATGATTATGTAGAAAATTGTAATGCAATTACAATTGGATAGTGCAGTTGCAGAATTCCAAACTGAACAACAGTGCAAT